TCTTAGTCTGATTCCTGTACACCCGTGTCGCCTCTCTGTGCACCCACCCCGGCTGGGGGTACGGCTCCCGGCAATTGATCATATTTGTTTTTTTTTCTTTTTTGTTGGATCTGATTTTTCTATTTAAATTTCTGTTTTATTATTCTGTTACATATGGCTCAAATACTTATAAGAAGAGGACTGTTATCAATGAAATTAATTCTACCTAAATCGTGAGGAAACAATTATACCTAAATAGTACAAAAGTTATCTTTTCCCTAGCTGACCTTGGGATAGTTGAGAGAATTCATAACTATCATTAAAAATCAGTGTCTGGGACAAGCAGATGGCATAACTGTTACATTGCTGGACTCCCACCTAGTCAACTGCGATTTGAGTCCCAGACCCAGTGACTTAAAACTCACACTGTGGGCCAAGATCCTAGGAGAAGAATGGAGAGGAGATTGCAGCGTGGCCATCCCTCCTGGGGGGTAATTTCTCACTTTCCCTCTCACTGTCTCTGTCTGCCCCCACCCCAACCCCCACCTCGTGTGAGCTCATGTGCCCTAAGGCAAAAAACCTCCTAAAAAAAAAAAAGTCAGTGAGGAGTTGAAGGGACAGGGACCAGCAGTTAGCGTAATGGCTATGTTGCTGGACTCCCACGTAGTCGACCATGGTTCGAGTCCCGGACAAGGTGGTTTAAACTCACACTGGGCACGTGTGCATGCGTGCCCAAGATCCCGAGAGGAGAATGGAGGAGAAGGGATTGTGGCATGGCCATCCCCCCTGGGGGATGATTTCTCGCTTTCTATCTCTCTGTCTCTCTCTGTCTGTCTGGCAAGTGCACACGCCCTATAGCGAAAACCTCTCCAAAAAAATAAAAAGAAAAAAAAAAGAAGAAAAAGGAGTTGGGGGGACGGAGATGCAGAGGGCAGCAGATGGCGTGGTATTTTAGGTACTGGATTCCCAAATGGCCTACCAGGGTTCAAATATTGGACCCAGCAGGTTGAAAATTACACCAGGTACTCTTATGTGCACAAGATTCTGATAGGAGAGTAAAGAAGGGATTGTGGCCATCCCTGCTAGGGGGTGATTTCTCACTTTCCCTCTCTGTCTCTCTCATGAGTGTACATGCTTTATGCCATACATATACACACAAATCCATGTCTAGGGTCCAGCCAGTGGTGGGGTGATTAAGGTGGCTGAACCCCACAAAGCCAACTACACAGTTTTGAGTCTCCAAACTGTGGCTTGAAAATCACATGTGTGCACCAAATCCCAAGGGGATAGTGGAGAAGGGATTGCAGCCTGGCTATCCCCTCTGGAGGGCAATCCTCTCCCCCTTTCTGGCAAACACACATGCTCTGTAGCTAGCAAGAAAGAAAGCCTGGGTTCAGTTCCTAGACCAACCTAAAGAGATCAGGTACAGTGGCACATAATATAATTCTACCTAAAAGTTTCCATGTGTGCGTATGCAATTTTATGTTACAATCTCTTTCTTTCTCTCTTTCACATACACATAATTTGTATAAGCCAGACAAGTGAGAAAGGCTGTATCAATTAGTTAACACTGATGACTTCAGCGTTCAGAATAGAGGTTGACAGAATAGAGAGGCTTATTTATATACCTCTGAATTTTGCTTGTTGCAACTAGCATCTCAGTAATCATTATCGATAATAATGACTAAAATGATGGCCACTATTTAGTGAGAGTTTAATATATTCTACTAAAAATAATTATTTTCTGGGGGGGAAGAGGTTTTTGCTAGAGGGTGCATGCACTCACCAGAAAGACAGAGAGAGACAAAGAGACAGAACGCGAAAAATCACCTTGCAGGGAGGATGGCCACGCCACAATCCCTTCTCCTCCATTTTCCTTTCGGGATCTTGGGCATGCACACACACACTCCTGGCCTGAGTTTAAGCCACCAGGCCCAGGACTTAAACTGTGGTTGACTACATGGGAATCCAGTGATGTAGCCATTACGCCATCTGCTCATTCCATTCTTCTAAAAACTTCTAATTTCATTCACTTCTGGAAATAACCCCATGAGATGGTAATATTATTATCTTCATTGTTTTATAGATGAAGAAATAAGGCTCAGAGGGTTTAGAGGCACTTGCCAAAGGCTGCACTTTTATTAAGTGGCAGTCTAAACTACAAATCCAAGTAGTTTGATTCCAGTGCTTATGCTCTAAACAAAAATCCAATGAAAGGCTCCTTTAGTAATAATAATAATAATAATAAATAACCAATCAAGCATATGGAATTGGCATGCTTTGGAAAACTGCAGTTGCGAATGTACCAGGTCATTTGTGCTCTATATTTTTATGACATATAATCACCAACTTTATATAATGTGTTAGTCATGATACTCTAGGGCTATAGAACCACTGAGATATGTGTAGATATATGCAGAGATTAGGGGATTGGCTTACATGGTTATGGCAGCTGAAAATCTTCACAACAGGCCATCCACAAGCTGGAGATCCTGGGATGCTGGTGGTGTGGATCAGTCCAAGTCCAAAGACCTGAGAGGCAGGGAAATCTCTCAGCCTAAGGTTGAAAGTGTGAGTACCCAGGCAGAGTGCCAATGTGAATGCTGCAGTCTGAAGGCAGGCGAGCCTTGAGTTCTGATGTCTAAAGCACCAGAAGGCTATTTGCTCTCTCTCAAAAGAGACTCATCCATCTTTTGAATTTGTTCTCTCTTATTGCTCTATATCAAGTAGGTCACATCCACCCATTCTGAGGGTGGAACTTCCCTGGCTGGCATATTCAGACTCACAAATTAATCTCTTCTGGAAACACTCAACAGACACATCCAAAATGAGGTTTCTAGGTATTCTTTAGTCCAGTCAACCTGACACCTAAAACTAACCATTGCATATACAGTCTTAAGAAAATTAAATTATCTATATTGCAACTTCTGCATTGACCAACTATCTTTTATGGCAACAATAAGCCACCTTATACCCCTTTGCCCATATATACATTGATATAAAATATTGAATAGGTATTGTATGCCCTAATAATTGACAGTAGGTATTAATTGTGTTCTAATTTGAATTAATGATCAATGTAACTGGGGCCAAATCATAAGCTTTACACATTTTAAAATCACAGATCAGGCCTAGCCACAGTGGCGAAGTGGTGCAACACTAGAGGAAGCCATATGGGAGATCAGTATTCCGGAAGTTCCCAGGTCAACCTGTACACTCCAGGAGCACTCATGTTCCTGTGATCCTGGTTAGCAGAAAGGCTGGGGGGAAGATCATGGTGTGAGGGACCACTGAGGGAATTTCTCTCTCTTTCTCTTGCGTGAAAGAAATATAACATACAAATAAAATTACTCTTTTTTTTTTTTTTTAGATTTTACTATAGAGCATGTGCACTTGCCAGAGAGACAGAGAGAGTAAAAGATAGGGAGTGAGAAAACCGCCCCCAAAGGGAATGGTCATGCCACAATCCCTTCTCCTCCATTCTCCTCTTGGGATTTTGGGCACACATGCACCCACACTTGGTGTGATTTCTAAGCTACCAGGTCCAGGATTTGAACCACAGTCAGCCATGTGGGAATCCAGTGCCTTAACTACCACACCACCTGCTGGTCCCACAAATAAAAATTTTAAATATTGTGAATTTATCTTCTAAAGTTGTACATGAACATATCATGAAAGAGCTAAGTCTAAATGTACTTGAGAAGTAGCAACACCGTCAACTCTTGCTGGAAAAACACAGGCAGCCTGAGGGTTTATCATTATTTGTTATTTGACAGCATGAGTTATATTTTGATAGTGCCAAATGCAAGCATTAACTATAGCTCTTTTTTGGAAAGATTTATAGGTGAGTGTGATTAGGCGGAGCAGCACAGTAGAAACTTTCACAAATCCCATTTGTCCAGGGGACCAGGACCGGGGATGGATTTGACACCACAGTCATCAGGATGAGCCACCATGTCTTTGAACTATCCACATTAAACTTGGTAAAGCCCTACTTCTCTGAGATGTGGATCTTCTGGCAGCCAGGGAACTTGAACTGGGTCCCATGCAAGGCCTCAATCACATGCCCCTTGTTCTACAGCTTGGTGCAAATGGACATGGCAATTGCCAAATTTGTGGACTTGGCCACAGTGCCCTGGGGCTTTCCAAAGTCACCCCCTTATACCTGTCTGGAGTCTAGCATACAGACAGCATGAGGCAAAGACACAAACAACCATTGGAAAGGGCTGACTCCAAGGTCCCTTAGGGCAATTCCTGCAAGAAACAGGCTGCACAGTACCCAGGAGTCTGCTGTTTGCAACCATTGCACACTAGACCCCATGAAGAATATTTATGACTCTTCAAAAGTCTATGCAGTGCTGACTGCCATAGCCTAGTGGTTAAGGGAGCCATATCCCAGTGGCTGACCATGATTTGAATCCTGCCCTGGGAGCTTGAGAAACCTACAGGCACATGTGCATGCATGCCGAATGTCCTGACAAGATGGAGAAATGGGGGAGAAGGGATTGCGGCACGACTATTTCCCACTGTGTGGTGCTTTCTCTCCCCCTCTCTGTCTTTGTTGAGTGCACATGCCCTCCAGGAATTAAAGGAAAAAAAAGGCCTACACAGAAATAGTCCCCTCTTTTACCTATTTCCATATAAATGTTTTATGTTCAGGTCCCAACTACAATGTACTTAAACTTTTTTTAAATTATTTTTTATTTGTTATTATTATTAACTTGATCAGAGAGAGACAGAGAAAGGGAAAGTGAGAAAGCAAGCCCCTAGGTCCGGGGCTCAAACTGCAGTTCGCCATGTGGGAGTCCAGCACCTTAACCACTGAGCCACCTGCCAACTCCTGTACTTAAACTTTTAAAGCTTTCTTTGTTTCCTGAAAACAACTATTGTTATTTAAGGGATTTTTTTAAAAAATGTAATTCTATACACTAACAGGGCTTTAGCAGCTATGCATGGTTTCTTAGATGTACTAATGAAGCTACTTATTCTAAATGAAATATGTTCACTGAACCTGTGTCTAATTCCTGGTTGGCTGTACTCTGAGTCAGTGCACTTTGGAACAAAGGTAGGTGTTAAACTTTGCCCTTTCTCTGCCTCACGGCCTCTCCACAGCTTTTGCTATCTGCCTCCCAACGATGAAATCAAACAGTTTAACAGTGATTTCAACAAGTAGCTTCCTGAAGAAGACACTCAAAAATGATAACCTTTCTTTCATTCATGTTACATCTTAGCCTAAGTTTCTTTTCTTGAAATATTACATTAAACCTTTGGAGCTTTTTCTGTCATATTCACTCAGGTATTCTTAGCCCTCATGGAGGATGAAAAGCCCTGGCCTTTTCTCTCTAGGAGCCAAGGGCCTGTGCTGATAGAGCAGGAGTAGTGGAGTTTCCACACGACTGTAGGTGATATTCAAGGCTTGTTGGCACAGCCTTTGTGGCACAATCAGTAGTAAGCCAACTGCAGAGCTGAAAGCCACAGGCTGATCACCATTTGAGTCTGATCACCACAATTACGGGGTAATGTGTGGCAGAGGTCTTTAGAATTTTGCTTGAGCATCATGGTAGTGTTTGAATGTTCAGTGCACATTTTGATACTTAACATTGTGAATAAAACATTGCTATTTTTTAAAAGAATTATTTAATTTTATTTATTCATTCATTTTTAATTTTTTAAATTTAACCATAGACAGAGACACAGAGAGAAGTAAAGTGGGAAATCAAGCCACCAGGCCCAGGACTCGAACCATGGTTGGCCATGTGGGAGTGTCCAGCACCTTAACCCACCATGCCACCTGCTGGTCCCAACATTGCTATTTTGTGTCTGTGTGTGTGCACATTGGTTCATGATATAAAATATATTTATTCCTGTGGGTCATAACTGAAAAACAGTTTGAGGGCCAGCAGGTGGTCTGGAGGTTAAGGCACTGGATCCCATATGGCTGACTGCACATTTTAAGTCCCAGACCCACTGGCTTAAAAAAATTACACTGGGTACATGTGTATGCATGTCCAAAATCAAGAGATTTTGGAGAAGGGTTTGCAGTATGACCATCCCCCAGAGGTTAATTTTTCTTTCTCTAGTGAGCACACATGCCCCATAGTAAAACCTAAACAAAAACTAAAAATGAAAACAAAAAAGGTCTCATGGCTCAGTCAGTGTCTTAATGAGCTCAGGTTGCTATAAGAAAATATCATAAACTGGATGGCATATTATAACAGAAATTTATTTCTCATAGTTCCAGAGGCTGGTAGTCAGATCTGGATGCATGCATGGTTGGGTTCTGGAGAGGGCCCTCTACCAGCTTCCAGACTGTGAACATCTGGTTGTGTCTTCACTAGGTGGAGGGCAAGAAGCAGCAAGCTCTCCTGATTCTTCTAAAGTCACTAATCCCACTCATAAGAGGTCTAAATTCATGACCTCATGTAATCCTGATTATCACCCAAAGACCCTCCCTCCTAATACCATTACACTGGGGGTAGAGTTTCAAAATAAGAATTTGGAGGTGGGGACACAAATACTCAGTCCATAACATCGAGAGACTAGAAGTTTTTCATTCATCATAAAAAGCAGGGCTTGTAAACGTGTTTCATGATTACACAGGGGCTTAGAATATTTAAGACACTTTGTATATCTATAACGAATGGATAAACAAGATTTTTAAGCTATGGTTTAGAGTCAGCTACATTGTCTCTCTGAAGCACATTTTCTAAGAGGGAAAAACTACAATGAATGCCCCAATTCATAAGACTGCAAAATGTCTTCCTTCATTCAGCATGGTGAATTGAGGGGAAAAAAGAAATCCAAGCAGCACTTTTGAGCTTTCTATATTGCACATGTTGGAGGAAAACCAGGTTACTTAAGGATCTTAGGTTCGTTTTACAAGGGGTAGACAATACTATGTAATTCTTTATTGGATAGGCTTTGTCTTACCGAACGGCTTTGTCATCAGCTGATGTTGCAATTACTTTAACAAGCAAAGGAAATGTCAGTCAAGTGCAGCACCTGGGACCTCCTCACCCCTGCAACATGTCAGGCAGGCCTCAGGCAGGAGACAAAAAAATGCCCAAGGCTGCGTGTGAAGGCCAGGTGAAATGGAAGTAGATGGTTTTGAGCCTGGGTACATAGGGTGCCTTGTCCCTAAGGTCAATATTTACACTAGGGATTCACTTCCGCTTCTGGTACACTTAATTAGGCGTTTATGATATTCCGTGGCATCATCCTGACTTCAGGACTTTGGAGGAAAGCTGGGGGTAGGAGACAACTGAAAACCATTTGACAATAAAATGCTTTGTGCAACCAGATGTGAATTCCACCTGCCCATAAGCTTACCCTAAACCCTGAGCCGGGCTGACCCACAAGGGGTTGGACTTTCCTCCTCCTAATGAGACTGCTTAGAGTGAGAAATCTATCAACCATGAGAGCTATTCGGCAAAACACTAGACGACCGTAGAAGATGGGTCATTGCTCTGCACCAGCAGCCAGCCACAGACAACAAATAAAAATGGAAGATCTTCCTCGGTGAGAAAACAGGCCTCAGACTCGAAGCCAGGTCCTGAGCTGGGAAAGGTGATCCAAGAAAGGCAAAGCGACCGCGCTGCTTCAAGAAGCCGGGTTCATTCAAACCCGGAGGACAGCAAACCCCGCCTCCCCACGCCGCCGCCCGCTCAATCGCCGAGCGCTCCGGGTGTGAGCTCGCCCCGCGGGGAGCGGCTTGGAGCCGAGGAGGCGGTGGCAGAGGTGGTTTGGGCAGCCCCGCGCGGCGGATAGGCCCAAGCAAACAACACCCATTCCCCCTCCCCCTCGCTCAGTTCAACTCCCACTCGGCCCCAGCCACGCCCTGCCGCCACCGCCCCCTCGGGCAGCTTTCTGCTCGGCGGCAGGGCCTCGGGCGGGGGCGGGGGAGAGGCGGGTCACCTGTGCCCCCAGTCACTGCATGTCCCGTGACCCCTTGCGGCTGCGCTCCGCCCCCTTTCTCCCACCACTCAGCGCGCGTCAGCAGGGGACCAGCCAATGGTGACCAAGCCAGGGAAAAAGGGCGCCCGGGTCCGGATGCGCCTCAGGAAAGCCATGCTCCCTGCGCAGGGGCAGCGGGCACTTCACCCGGCGCGCCGAGCCTCCGGTTGTCCGCTCGCCTCCACATCCTCACCTCTCGCTTCTCTGGGGCGATAGGTGTACTTTTTCCTTCGGTGGCAATTCGGAGGGATGTTGCAGTGGGGTTTTTGAGTGGAGGGCGCTGGGAAATGAGTAGGGGGCGGGATATCCTGAGACAACAAGTTTGGCTGTATGGAAGGCCTACCGGCAGCGCGCCTGAGCTAGAACGCCGACAGAAAGAGCGCAAGAGGAGCCAAGAGAGGAAAAGAAGAGCGGCTGCAAGAATAACCCCGGGAAAGGGGGTGGAGAGGAGGCGGCCCCAGCGCCCCGGCCCCCGGCAGGTCGGCGGCCAATCCGCTGGGGGAAGGGGTGGAGAGTCGGCGGCTCCGGCGGAGAGAGGCCGAGGGGGGTGGG